GGCGCAGCAGAATGTCAGCCATGTCCAGAACAAGGGCACGCCACCGCCCAAGGTCTGGTTCCTGCCACCGGTCTGCATGGCCCACTGCATCCGCCTGGCGCTCATCCGCTTCCACGTCAAGGTGCGGCTGGGGGCGGCGGGCCCGGGGTCCCTCAGGGGTGGACCTGGGGTCCCTTTGGGCCCGAGTCAGGGTCGTGCCTGGTGCCCCTTAGACTGGAATCCCTTCGGGCTGGGGTCAGGGTTGGGGTCTGGGGTCACTTGGGCAGGGGTCAGGGTTGAGCTACTGGCCTCTTGGTGCTTGTGTTTGGGCTGGGCCTGGAGTTGATTGGGTAGGGGTCGGAGTTGAGTCTGAGGTCCCTTGGGCCAGGGTCAGAATTGGGCCCGGGGTCCCTTGGGCCAGGGTTCAAGGCTTGGCCTCGGGTCACTTCGGGCTTGGGTTTGAGTTGGGCCTGTGGGGTCCTTTTGGGCCAGTGTCAGGGCTGGACTAGTTCCGGGAAGCCCAGTCTGACCCAGGATAAGTCTTGGGTGCCCCTGCCTGTGGAAGGCCAGGGGAGCAGGCCTCAGTATCTCTCAGGGGCCCTCTCGGGACACAGGGTGTCACCATGCTCAGGCTCGACTCGAGCTCCGCAGAGGGGGCCTGGAGCAAGATGGATGGCGGGCCCTTTAGGCCCGGTGTGGTTGAAGTCCGCCCACAGCCATCCCTCTGCACTTTCTCTTTGGTCTGCTGTGTACCAGTAGACTTGTGTATGAGACACTTGAGGCTGGGGGACAGACCCAAGTGGGGTTGGTGGTGTCATCCCCAACATCCTCAGTCTCTTCCCCTCCTTTTGGGGGCTGGCAGGCTACCCGCTGGTCTTAGACTTAATTTGTATGCATCAGTCGAAATTAACCCGCTCTTTCCCAGCAACAGGTTTGTCGTGGAAGTCTGTAGAATAAACAGTGACAGTGGATCGCCAGGGCCTTAGGGACAAGCAGCTCAAAATAGATTGTCTCCAAAGCTGTGGGAGGTGAACTTTGTGTAGAGGCTCTTGCTGCTTTCTGATTCTCAGAGTAGATGCCCCCACTCCTCTGCCTTTGGAAATGAAATGTTTGGAGAAACTGCCCATGGTAAAATTTTGGTGTTAGATTTCAGTGTATTGTTGAGATGGGTCCCTGTTAGTTCTGTGGTTCAATTCTGTGTTTCTGGTCTGAGTGTACTAGTTCAGAATCAGGAAGAATTTTGGGGGTCGTTTGGCATAGGCACCAGCTTTCAAGAGCTGTTTTTCTGCTGCACAGGAAGCGTTCAGTGACCTTCAGTGGGCCCTGATGGGTGGGTAAGGAGAGCTGCACATTGTCAGCCTTCTGCTGTCTGTCCCTTTGGCAGAAGGCTCAGCAGCCAAAATTGGGCCAGAGGAGAACTTAAGGGCCCAGCACTTGACTGAAAGCTGAGCACCTAGCTGATCCTCAAAAGTCTGGATAGCTTGCATTTTCATGTTTTCTTTAAAACACTTATTTTCAGGGGCAAGGGGGATGAGGCTGTTTTGAGTTTTTACACTTGTCACTGTCTTCCAACTTGTTCTTTTGTTTGGAAACTGAGCTTGAGTTGAAAGTTTTAGACTGTTTCCCTCTTCCTGGTCATCCCTGCTGGCAGTGATGAGATGGTGGTAGTTAAACCTAAACTGATTGCGGAAGTCCCACCCAGGGTCCTGTTGCAATTGGTGAACTTGTGTTTAAGTCTGTGGGTGGAGGCAGATGGAAGAGTGGTGATTGGCCCAGGAGGGTGGCAGATACACGGCGTGTCATTTCTCAGCTAGTTAGTATGAGAGGCTGTGTGTGTGCCTCTCACTTTTTCTCTGTAGCCTGGGGCTCTTGGGAGGGGAAAGTGGAGCCCTTCCTCTCTGATTCACCTCTGGTGGACAGCCTGAAAAGGTCCTGGCTTAATGCTGTTTGGTGATGGGAAGTGACATTTAAGACACAGTGAGCTTTATTATCTGCTTTTGCTAACAGCACTGGGCTGTATCTTTAGTCAGCCAACATTCAAGAAAACATCGAATATTCAGATTAGAATCTCTGTGTGTGTGCAAATGCTTGTGTGTGCTTTTGCCATTTTTGCAAGAAATGTTTGATTCTTCTAAAGTGTAATTTTTTTTTTAAAGGCAGGATCTCACTTTATAGTCTTGACCTGCCTGTAACTCTCTATGTAGAGAGTTCTATGCCTCGAACTCACAGAGGTCCACTTGCCACTGCCTCTGCCTCCTGAGGCTGAGATTTAAAGGACACCATATCTGTCTAATTGTAACATCTTTGGGCCCTTGTGAATGCCTCCCATACCTAGTAGGTACTTGGGATTTTGATCAATGTAGTGTGTGAAGCTAGACTGGAGACAATCTAGATGTGCTTGGTGGGGCATGCCTGTCGCACAGTACTTGGCAAGTTGAGGCAGGAGGATCCTGAGTTTGAGGCTAGCGCATGGGCTTCAGGGTGAGAACCTGTGGTCTTCTTAGCAACCTCACCTTTTTGAAAAATGCCTACAAGATTGAGCTTTTAGAAATGTCTTAGCAACCAAGCAAGATGTCAAGAACCTTGGGTACAATGACAGGAGAATAGTGTTGTCTTTCCTGCCTGAAGGATCCGGGACCTTTGTGCTCTCGCTCAGCCTGCTCCAGCCTTTCCAGATATAGCTGTAGCAACCCCAGTTGTCCATATCCTTAACTCCATTTGAGGAGAGAGAGGTTGAAGAAGAAAGTCTGCTGGAGGCAGGAGCACCATTAATAGCAAAAAGTGACACCAGAGAGAAGATGTGAAACTGCAGAAAGCAGGCGGAATTCTGGGAGCTATTTTTAACCAAGAAAACAATCCCGTGGACTTGGTATCCCTGAGGGTACTGCAGTATTTATTCTATGAGGATGACTTTGAGGGGCTGGCAGATGGCTTAGCTGTTAAGAGCACTTGTTCTTACAGGGGACCTGGATTTGATTCCCAGCATCCTCATAGTGGTTCCCAACTATCTACAACTCCAGTTCCAGAGGATCAGAAGCCTCTTCTGAGTTCCACAGGCACCAGGTGTGAATGCAGTGCGCAGACATACAAGCAGGCAAAACATTCATACACATCAATACTCTAAAAATAATTTTTAAAAAAGTAATAATGTATGGTGCATGTTTTAAAAAGGATGTTTTTGAGTCATAAAAATTACCTTTCCTGTTCTCTGTTTAACTGTTTGTTGTGTGTGTGTGTGTGTGTGTGTGTGTGTGTGTGTATGGGTGTTCTGCCTGCATGTATGTCTGTACACATCTTTTGTGCCTGGTATCTGCAGAGGTTAGGGCATTGGATTTTCTGGAATTGAAATTACAGAAGGTTGTGAACCACTATGTGGTTGCTGGGAATTGAACTGGGTCCTCTGGAAGAGCAGCCAGTGTTCATCACTGAGCCTTTTCTCTAGTGGCAGTTTCTTAATAAGTGTACATGTTCTAGCAAATCCCACTAATGGGTATTTTTCTTAATGAAACTTTATTCTCATAAGCACTAGCATTTGCTCTGAGAATATAACCAGTGGGTAGAGCATTGCCTCGTGTGTGGAGTCCAGGAGTCCATGGCCAGCACTGTATAAACTGGACATAGTGGCATACACCTCTGGCCTCAGTATTTGGGAGGTAAAAGCAGGAGGATAAGAAGTTCGGGGCTAACTGCAGCTGAATAGCAGTTAGA